TGTGTCTATTTCATTTTTATGTCTCTTACGATGTGTCCCGCACATCTCCACTTTAACTGTCTGATTTTTGTGCTAATGTCTTCGAATTTTGTGACATTTCTCACTTCAGTAGCTCTTTTTCTGACTTTTCTCGTGATTCCAAGACACACCTTTCCATTGTTTTTTGAAAATTTGGAATTTTGTTGTAGTTTTTAATATTCATAGCCCAAGTATGACATCTATAAGATAGAATTGCAGGAATACAGGGGTTGAAGACTTTTCTTTTTGCAGTCATTGAATAAAGCTTGCTTTTTCAGAATTTCTTTAAATCCCCAAAATCTCTTCCAAGCATTTGCTATTCTTCTATCTATTTTATTAAACCTACTTTTCTGCTTCCTCTATCCAATTCTTGGAGCATGGTCGCAAGGTTTTGGGATTATTAGCTTTAACAACCATATCATCTGCGAATCTTAGGAAACTCTTTGTTTCAGAGAGCACGGGGTGTCTGTGACAAACAACACCTGGCAGCTGAACTTCATCATGTCCAGCGAGTACTGAAATATAAGAACCTGAATGTACCACGTCGCCGTCACAGTCGCGCCAAACCTAGCACAGTCGACCGACTTACGGTAGTTAGGGTCAAATAAATTAATTCAAAATTACAAAAAAGAATTTTAAATAAAGTAATTTTTATTATCTTTATTAACTAAATTAAGTAATAAATTCATACATAGACAATAAAACTTTAAAAATCGAACAATGAAATAACCAAACGCTCAATAAAAGTCTTGCGAAGGTAGCTCGACAAAATTAAATAAAATTTGATTCCGACGACGTAGCCTGTAAAGGCTACGAAATGTCAATAAATAAATAAAGTTTCGTGCATTAACCCGTGAAAAACTAGTTTCTCTAAAGATTTCTTCGAGTACCGCTGTTAAAAGCTTTGATGAAAGTGGATCTCCCTTTGTCCGGTTTACCTATGCAGTACTGTTCACATAAATATTTCTTATGATTCTTATGTATATGTGTTCTATTCCCTGATTTTTAATGGAGTCCATACGAAATAGTGTTCCAAAAAGTCAAACGCCTCATTATATTCGACAAAAGTTATCTGGCTTTTGTCGACTATAATGAGGCGTAATTATATTCTTGTATTTTTTCTACTAACTGTTTCAGAACATGCATCTGGACAGCTGTGGAGTAAACTGCCATAAATTCGGGCAGTTCTTTCGGCTGTTGTTCATCCAGGCTTTTCACAATCCTGTTGAAAACAATTTGCAGATATTTGAAATAATGCTTATGGGACGGTAGTTGCCAATGTCAGTACTGCCTCCTTTTTTATGAATAAGAATGAACTGTTTTCGGTCCATTGTGAAGGAATTTATTCGGAAAACAATATTTCTATAATAATATATAATAGAGAAATCTTCATTTGGGATATGGTCCAGGAAAATTGGCGTCGGCAAAACAATAGTCTATATAGAATAGTCGATTTTTATTACAAAGTTTCAGCTCCTGTTTCAGCCTATTATTGTTTAATTTTAATGGCAATAACTAACCAATGCCCTTCTCCTAGGTTCTCTGTATCTCCACACCAATATTCTCGAGAATCGGTTAAAAGCTAGCCAATTTATTATTGAAACGCATTTAAAGAAATAAGCTATATTTTTAAATATAGGAAATGTGGAATTGATGTACCGGTAAGATAAGAATTTGTGGGAGATATACTAATATGTGGCTGGCAGCCCAAGATCGATCTGAGTGGCGTGCATAATATCCAGCAGTGGACTAAGATAGGCTGTTGATGATGATGACGATGATGATACTAATATGTATTAAGATATTTTTAATCCATCATTTTTTGATTGACCACCATGCAAGGAATATCTGTAAAAATAATAGAGACGAGCAGAGCACTGATTTACTGCAACATCTCAAGTTTGTTGTACATATCGTAAACATTACTTACCTGCGTCATTTGCTTGCAATAAAACACAGTTCGGCACTAAAACTATACAGTACCACGCTTAATAACTTCTGCTTAAATTTAGATACACCTGGCCTCTTGTAATTTAGCCAAGGGACTTTAAACTTTAACGCAGTTTTCATAATTACTTGTTTCGATCGTAACGCTACGCTTGTGATCGTAAAAGGACTAACATTTTATATGCATGTCTTTAGACGAATGATGTTATTTGCAATGTTGTACTTAAAAGTGCTTTTAAGTAGTATTTTGGACGTTTGAAGTAATTTTAGGATGAGCTTGGTGGTAACCCACGCACTAAAACATAGTGAGACTAAATTAATGGATGGTTGACCGAAAGACTTATTATTTATAATTCAAACTCTCCTATATTTTCTTTGGATTCTAATAATAGCTGAAAAGACGCACGAGTAGAACAACTAACAATAAGATTTGAAAAACGTTAGCTTCACTCGCTTATTAGACTGTGCGAATCTGCAATTCAACATTTTACAGTGGACACACAACGCCCTACATTTCCTCTCCATATTTACGGAGTCCTACAAGTTGTCAGTGGTCCAACTGTCCAAATAATTTAATTTTTCAACTCTTTTAAGTTCAATGTCCCCGTGGGTAACGGAGCTGGTACGCTGCGCTGACACCCGGTCGCCCCAGCCCGAAACACCAAGAACTCACTTTAACCACAAATAACAACTGCTATCAACTGTATGTAGTCATTAAAAAGTTATTGCAATGAAAACAATGAAAATAAAGTATATTTTAATAGCTTCTTCTTCTTCTTCCGTCCCTGTTCCCGTTATCTGGGTCGGGTCTCCTCACTCTACGGCGCCAGGTTGATCTGTCCTGGGTTGTCGGTTTTGGCAATTGGGCTTTCTTAAGGTCTCTTTCAATGTTTGACCACCAGGTCGATGGCGGGCGGCCTCTACCATTTTTTTGTTCTGCAAAGCATATTTTAATAGCAGTTCTTAGTAAAGAAATTTCTTATCACATCTAAATCTGAAGTAACCTTTGCCTCAAGACCTCATAGCAGGTCACTTATGAGACGGACTGTCTAAACTTCTGCAATTGTAGGCTCTATTATTGAATCCATCAAGCAGTCCAGGAATAGAGCCAGGTAGCGGGGAATCGTAAAGCGAGCTACATTTGCCCACTCCTGAGATGCATCTTCGTTATCACAATGCCCCTTAATCTAGTAAACATCACGGGAAACAGGGGTCCGTGGGGTAGGGGGTTAGGTTCAGGCCGGAAAGGTAAGGATGGCTGGAGCGACAAATTTTCTGCCGCATCGCCTATCTCCGCGACTGGATTCCACTTAGTGTCGCCGCACACGGGCCACACGCCACAGCCACAAACGCCGCCACGAGAAGCTAGAAGCGGCTACTAAAGTGGCTGAAGCGCGCGACAGCGGCCGACTAAGGTAAGGGAGAGAGGGGTGGGGAATCCCGCGAGTGACGCGTGGCAGCGTTTTGTATCGGCGCATTAAGTGGCCGGTGCGGGCCACAAGAAGCGAGCAACGACGATTTGTAGCGTGTGGCGGCCACCGGCGTACCGTGTGTGGCGAGCCCATATAAAATGTATGAAAACTACAAGAAATATGCCGGTGGCGGCGTTTACTTCTTAACATGGGGTGAGGTGGAGTTATTTGTTGTCCCTCATATATAAAAAAATATGATGATGATGATGATGATCACGATCACTCTGTTAAGAGTGAAACAAGCGAGAAGATACTTGAAAATGAATTATAGTATGAAATTTGAATCCAAATGACCTTAACCTACTTACGAATAATATCTTATTTAAAAAAAATCGAGATTCTTACTTTGCCGTATGTCTACAGTTTTAAAGATTATTAAATTTACTCGTAAACATTCAAATTATTTTAAAATGTGAAATGAGAAATCATTACGGCACACATCACGACATGGACATAAACTACTTACGAGTATAACAACTACAAGCCTTAAAATGAACTTATTTAGTCCACTTCTAATGGTCGTCAACATTCATATAAATTACCTAAACCGTTAGTTGAAGAAAAGGTTGATAAAATATTCATTGGAAAAGTGAAAAAGCTACTATTAAGAAAAGTTTATAACACGGTTGAGGAATTTTTAGAAGATAATGATTTAAAGTAATGATTAAATCTAAAGAAAATATAACTTGAAAAAAAAAACCCACACGGACCAGGCAGCAGACGGGACTCGAACCCGCACCCTTCGCAATCCGGGCGAATGCACTGACCAATTATGCTACCGCGGCCCTCACGGACCGCGTCGAAATTCTTCTAGCCATTCTTAGGCTGCAATGCAGCGCCATCTCTTCGCATTATAGGTAACCCACAATGTCAAATGAATACTTTTACAACTATTAAACATTTGAAAGAAGAAATAGCAATTACAGTTATAATTTTTATTATTTTAAAGCATGTATCTGCTTGATGTTTAAATCTACCGTCTGCTGGCTGGTCCGCGTGGATTTTTTCTAGTTATATTTATTTTCTTTAGATTTAAACATCAAGCAGTTACATGCTTTAAAAATAATAAAATTAAAGTATTATTATTTTTACTACACCTGACATTTTGTTTTATTTAATTTGTATGGGTATAATAATATTGAATATAATATGCCATAGAATATGACATAGATAATAAATCAAATAATATAAGTAATATTGAGCTAAAATTTTCGAATAATGTTGATATTAATATTTAGGTTAGGGATTTAATTTGTTAGGTAAAAAGTTGATCGTATTTTAATTGATAAATTGTATACGTATTAACTAAATTACAATTTGTAAATGCGTCCTCTTCTCTATTCTCTATTTGCAGTGCCCTGTTCAAGGTCTACAATGATCAAAGCAATGTACCTACCAAGATCTAAGAAAACAATGTAGATGCAATAAAGAATTGATTGATTGAATCTAATTTACAAAACAAAAAATATGTCACCCCCCGCGCCGTCATCAGGAATGGTGTCAAATATCCTGGCAGCATTGCCATGTTGAATAGCAATGCTGTAATTAAACATTACCACTTACCAGTGAAGGTGGAGCTGGTGAAGATCCTCACAATCTTGGAGCTCACCGGAGGCAGTAACTTCAGTGAGCCCGCGAAGATCAGGTCTACGGTCCTGTCGTCCATGGTTCAGCTCTGCAGCACCACCAGAAAAACACGGCTGAAACAAAGTTATGCTTGAAAGTCATTCCTAATGAGTTGAGAAAGTATGGCTACATTGATTGTGAGACTAACATCCGGTTTCTGAAACGCATGTCAAATATTGAATTAGTTGACAGACTGTCATAATTAACTATTTGTTGAGCAACTGTGGGTTTCTGAAAAGCTATTTACCGAAAAATTAACGAATCTACTGTTAAGGCAGGATTTATTTATTAGTCTGGCCACCCTAGCTAAAACCAATCACTTTCATTCGATCATTCATGTTTTGTTTCTGTCTAACGCATAGCTTTGTCTCTATCTTTTGACAACTTATAAGTGACTTTTATTTAGAAGACAGAAAAATAGAAGCGATTGTGTGTACCGAAAACATTGAAATTTTTTTTCATTTGTAAAGTTTTTACATAATATGTCACGAAAAAACTATACGGAGCGAGAAAAGAGGGAGCTTTTAACAATAGTGGATAAGTAAGTACCTAATAGGTACAAATCAGTTGTTCAAATCAAGCTTTCTAATCTATACAAAGAAACCGATCTGCTTTTGGTATTTAAAATTTGTAAATATATTGATAATATATATTTCAATGTAGGTACAAAGAAATAATAGAAAATAAGTCTACCAATGCAGTGACGGTGGAAAAAAAACGTGACTTGGAAAGAAATTGAAGAATTTAGAAATAAAAATTAAAGAATTGGAATTTACTTCTAAAGCAAATAAAAAGTAAAATAATTATAGTGTTAAATCTGATATAAACTACAATATAAAGATGTTTGTTTGTTTGTTTGAACGCGTTAACACCAGGAACTGCTGAACTGAATTGAAATATTCTTTTCATGTTGGGTTAGCCATAATTGTAGGAAGGCTTTAGTGTACAATAATTGTTCGTTTTAAGTTCCAGGTGTGTCAGTTTTCCCATTAGTTGATGGAAAACAGATTTTGAAATCCTGTAGCGATCCTTAAATTCTTCATCATTGTAATGAATTACAGGATTTATTCGTTTCTGGAACTGGCGAGTTGGTGCCAGATCTTCCTCGTCACTAGATAGGGATATATCGTCAACAGATAAATCTGACAACATTTTTTCAACAATCCTCTGACCAAAATATCAGTAAAATTTCTTTTGACAGTCTGTTAATTGATAAATTTTCACCAATTACTTATTAAAACACAACAAAACGTCAACATGCAGTTAACATACAAAAAAGCTTTCCGGAAACCAAAAACTACCGCAATCGGCCATTAATTCGAGATTTGACATTTGCAACAACAAATCATTGAAAAACTGTCACTTGGCTCATTGAGAAACCCAAAGTGCATTTAAATAGAGATTAACAATTTGTTACGTAATTTTTTCGATGACATGCGTTTCAGAAACCGGGTGTAAGTGTCGCCGCACACGGGCCACAGCCACAAACGCCGCCACGAGATGCTACAAGCGGCTACTAAAGTGCCTGAAGCGCGCGACAGCGGCCGACTAAGGTAAGGGAGAGGAGTGGGGAATCGCGCGAGTGACGTGTGGCGGCGTTTTGTATCGGCGCATTAAGTGGCCGGCGCGGGCCATAAGAAGCGAGCAAAGATGATTTGTAGCGTGTGGCGGCCACCAGCGTACCGTGTGTGGCGAATCCATATAAAATGTATGAAAACTACAAGTAATATGCCGGTGGCGGCGTTTTGTGGTTGTGGTCGGTGGCCCGTGTGCGGCGACACTTAAATATAGATTGTCCCGCGCAAATTGACCTACCAACCGGGAACTAGAACCTGTAACCATCTGACATTTTGAGTGAAAGCATATTATAATAATTATATTCCTTTTTTATTTTTTAAAGCATTAAACTGTTTTAAATCTAAAGAAATTTTTTCTAGAAAAATTCCATGCTGACCAGGCAGCGGACGGGACTCGAACCCGCACCCTTCGCTATCCGGGCGAATGCACTGAACATTATGCTAGCGTGGCCCTAATGGCCTTGTCGATTTTTCTCTAGCCCTTTTAAGGCTGCAAGTTCAAGCAAGCTCTTCGCATTGCAGGTTTTTCTTTAGCGTAAAATATATTTATGTATGTACAGCCGCCCTCGATTAAGCCCGCGTTAACTTAGTCAATCAATCAATCAAAATCATTTATTCAGTTTAGGCTGTTACAAGCACATATGAATGTCTAGAAGCTACGCCATCGGTTCGTAAATCTACGGCGGTAGACCTTGTACTGAGAAGAACCGGCAAGGAACTTAGCAAGGGCTGTTTTTTTCTCCCTGTTTTATCGTTTACATAGTCGTCAAGTTGAAAAATGATTTCAGAGATAATTCATGAAGTCACCTTTCATTGCATAATGTGAAATTATACATTAATTGTTCACCTTCATTTTGAATGCTGTGTCACACAGTATAAATACAAATAGAGTTATTTATAATAGGTGTAGTTAAACATTTACATCTTAAATATTAAAGTAGTTAGGGCAGACTCATCTCCGCTGGCAGCACCCGTTCAAGAGCATGACGCATGAACCAGCCATCGCTTCGCTCTGCCATATTTTAGGGAACGTAACGACCCGCCGCACCGAAGAGACTTTTAAGGGAGCATAACTACCCATAACCACCTATATCAATCACAACATATTTACTTAAAATTAAAGTCATTTATCTGTAGGACACTGCAAACAATTACAAAGCAAAAACAATGGAGAAATCATGACCACGCCTTTTGTCATTCAAATCTTCGTAAATAGTCTGATATTTTTCCTTAAGTAATCAACTTAAAATACAGCTTTTAAAATCAATAGAAGTATCGTCAACACATAATTCATAATATATAACGACATATAATCTTTTGAGAATCCTATAAGAGCCTAACATATTTCCATGATAAAAGTACCCTATGTCTCAATCCACGGCATAAACTATACTCATACTAAACTTTATCCAAATCCGTGCAGTAGTTTTTGCATGATTGAGTATTAACACTTATAATATTTGTAGGAAGTAAGATTCTAATGTCGATCACGTCTAGACCTCTAAGATAACATAAGGAGTTCTGGCAGGAAGCACGTTTTTACGTTTTTTTTTCTTGGGTACAAAACCCTAAAAATGGATCTCAAATGTCAAAACTTATTGTAGAATTCATGCGAGTACGGTTACATGGTAGCCCCCCTGGTAAGGCAAATCCATTAAATATACTCAATCATTAAAACAGAGTTTAAATTACATATTAATGAACGAAATTGTCATGGAACGCATGACAAATGATATTCAAAGTGAAAGTATTTATTGAATCGGTTAGCTTACCCAATAATGTTTCCGATATGCAATGCAATACGCATCGTATAAGTAAAACTGTTAATATTAAAGATTGGTTTGTATTTGTTACTCAACAATGACGAAAAACTGATTTAAATAGATAAAAATAATACTGGTGTGCACACTGGCCTTTCCCCCACGACAACGGCTTACTAGAGCCGAGGTCCCAGTCTCAGAGACGCCCTCTAGTTGATCCGACCCCCTCAGGTTCGAGTGGTCTAGAGGCTCCAGATGGAGAGGAGATTCCCCCAGTGGGGAGATGCCATCCGACTGGAAAACCTCTAGAGGCACTCGCCAATAGGGGTGATGACGGGGTACAGTAAACGAAATTCTATTTAGTCCGTCAGTTAGATGATCAAAAATTAATGGAAACGTATTTTTTCTTTGGGCAATCAACCAAAAAATGACAAAGTTATAGCGCGTCAAAGTTTGGGAGTAGGGGCTCGCGACGTCACTTTTAAGTGAAAATTGCACCAAAACGTGACGTCATGCGACTTTTCAAATCAATATATCTCTGCAATGTTTATATTATGTGAAAAAAGAAAAAATACGTGTCCAATAGTTTTTGATAATTAAGTAAAAAATAAAAAACGAAGAAAAATTAGTCATCATCCCTATTCTCAGCTTGGTTCTGAGGGACCTCCCCTTAGGATCTCGCCATCCCCAAACCTGGTGACTCTGTAAAGGTCATGTGCAACGAACAGCATACACTCAAAATAAAAAACAAAAAAACCGATATGCATGAGTCGCTAAGCGTAGATTGGTTCTTAGCATCTTAGAACCAAGCGAGGTTCCTTATAATTTCGTCTCAGCCTTAACCATCATCATCAGCCTATTAATGTCCCCACTACTGGGGCACAGGCCTTCCCTATGGATGGAATAGGGAGATTGGGCCATGCCCCACCACGCGCGCCCAGTGCGGGTTGGTGGGTGTTAACGACTACAGATGCAGCCGGGACCAACGGCTTAACGTGCCTTCCGAAGCACGGAGGAGCTCGAGATAGTAAATTTTCGGTCACCCATCCAATGACCGACCACAGCGAAAGTTGCTTAAATTCAACGATCGCAGCGGAACGCGCTAACCACTTGCGCCATCGAGCTCCTGTATACCATAAGTAAACAGCAAACTTAATTGTTTTTATATCAAGTACTAGCGGCCGTTTACCTAACACTAAAAACTAACTAGGGATAAAAAGTATCCTATTGCTTTTTCCGGGTTATAAGCTGTCAGTGTGTAAAATTTCATTCAAATCCATTTAGCCGTTTTAGCGTGATCGAGTAACATGTATTTTACAAACATACAAACTAAATAAAAACTTATATTTAGTGTATTTTTTTACACAATGTAATTCCTTATCGACAACTAGTGGCCGCCCGCGACTTCGTACGCGTGGAGTTAGTTATTTGCACATACTTTTTGACCCCAAAAGGGTTCACTGCTCATTCCCCGTAGGTGATAGCGTGATAATATGTAGTCTATATGTTGACCCGACTTCTTAATAATATTCGTGCCAAATTTGAAGTAAATCCATGCAGTACTTTTTGAGTTTAACCCGGACATACATACAGACAAACAGACAAAAAATCTAAAAACTATATTTTTGGCTTGCATCGACTGTAGACCACACCCCAAGTATTCTTTTAAAAAAAATATTCAATGTAAAGTTGACTTCTCTACCATTTATTTTATTATATGTATATATTGTACTGTACA